CTCAGTCTACTAAAAATGGAGCTACCATATGACCCAGCAATTCCACTCCTAGGGATATACCTGAAGGACACAAAAACATTGATTCAAAAGAACACCTGTACACCTATGTTTATTGCAGCACTATTTACAATAGGCAAAACCTGGAAACAACCCAAATGCCCAAAAATAGATGACTGGATCAAGAAGATGTGGTCTATATACACAGTGGAATATTATTCAGCAATCAAAAAAATAAACTCATGCCATTCACAGCAACAGGGATGGAACTAGAAGGAATTATGCTCAGTGAAATAAGCCAGAAGGAAAAAGAAAAATATCGGATGGCTTCACTTATGGCAGGAATATAGGGGAACCAAATAAGACAACAATGTAAAAAAAATAATAACAGTACAATACACAACAAAGCAAAAACAGACAATTATAAATCAGAGACATACTGCAGAGGAGGAGGAGGGAGAGGGATCAGAAGGAGGCAGGGAGGAGCAAATGGGACTGTGGTGATGGAGCACAGGTGTATTGGGGAAGGAAATTCTATGGGAATACACCTGAGGGGGTGGTGGGGAAGCAAATATAATTTAAAAATGAACAATGATGTAAAAAAAATTCTATATCCAAAAATAAGCATAAGTTTCAACTTTTTTTTGTATAAAATCTAATTATATTACATGGACAGAATGTTTTTAATTTTCCTAATTTTAGAGTATTTTCATTTGAATAAGAATCAAAATGATATGAGAATTACATGCATTTGTTAGATGCTGAGAGGTTATGTATTCTGTAATGCAAGAAATGAAATATGCCAAATGATAATACTTTATACCCTATAAATCTCACTGTCTCTCTCTCTCTTTGAAGGAGGAATTTTTATATGTATAAAAATAATATTTTCAGAATATTACTTAGAGTGCTTAGTTATACTCTCGCAGATCATCAGAGTATTTAAATGAAAAACAGTTATTGTTTTCTCTGAAAGGTTATAAAGAAATCAGGATAATTTATAAAATAATGAAAATGTTAACAATCAGAAAAAAAAATTGTGGTTTCTTTGATGAATGTTCATCTCCCCCACTATACCATAAGCCCTGTCAGCGGAGGAACCATGTTTTCTTTTACCTACCATAGTATCCAGAAGAACTCATATACACATAAATCAGAAACTTAATATGTCAATGTACTTCCTACACCCATGCTAATATGTTATTTTCTTTGTCATTGTTCTTCATTACTCTTTCGAACACTGAGTGAGTTAAGTGACCAAGAACCAAAGGTCAAGCAAGGCCATTGACCTATTACACCATGGGAGGAGATTCTCTTTTGTACCCTGATTCCTAATTTTAAATGCCAAGCACATCAGTGTGAGGCCAATAATGGGGCTGCTAATTATATCTATTAACATGTGAGAGGGCTAATAAAAGTCAGAGGATTGAATCAATACTCACTCTGGTCATCCAAGAGAGCCCTTACTCACTGGATGGAATTTGATAATTTACTCCCTTGGTGTCATTCTGCATCCAAGTTACTGGTTGCTAAATATGTGGCTGTTTCAGCCTTTAATCACTTTCTTTCCTGGCCTTAATATCATTAGAACACACCTCATGGTATTAACTAAATCATATAGCTGCCAATTTTGTAGTGATTGTGATAGGAATCGTAATCACAAAATCTGCAAAATATTTCCCTCGTGGTAAAATGTTGTTCATTGTTTCTGTTAAATCAGATGGTATTTTATTCTAGAAGAAAATTGTCTCTTTTCAAGTCTAGATCATCCAAGCAGTGATAGCAACTGATGTGGAAGGTCTCATCTCCCTCCTGGGAAGAAGCGGCAAATGTTAGGCGCTCTGATGCAGTTTCACTCAGTTCATGCCTGCATGTATCATTTTTAGATGTCTGGAGCTCTGTCTTCCCTACTGTCTTCTTGAATAACCTACCACATCTCTGAAGAACACATATAAATCAATTACCTTCCAGGCAGCCTACCTCTGCAGAGATGGGTCATATTTATGAAAACAGTTTTCATAGACTAAAAGGCTTTCTCTATGACATGCCAGCAAATAATGCCACTATATCACCAGGAGACGCTTCCAGAAACCAACAACATCTGAGTCATATTAAAAACCTTTGAGTCTAAGTATTAGGTTTGTGCTTGCACCTGGCCCCTGTTTCAAGCCCTTTTCCTGTGGTTTTGCTCAAGGGGAAATATTTTGGTAATCAGAAACTCCTTAAAACTTCCTCCTTTATCAAGATTCTCAGATTCCTTTGGAAGTATGTGAAGATTATGAAAACCAAAATTTCATTTACATGCATATCTGTGCATTGAGACTTTTCCTACTGAAATTCCATAATTCCCAGCGAAAGTCCATGACAATTACAGTCCATGTGTAACCCAGAGTGTAGAATTGCTTGAAGGATCTCACGAAGAGACACTGCTGACTGTCTACTCAAGGGTCCTCTTCTTCCCATGCTTTGTCTGTTTAAGGCGACTCTGCAGATACAGTGGGTGGGTCTCAGCTAGGTTAAGCCCATCATAATTTTTTTTTCCTAATTGTATCATTTTAAATTGGGGTAATATTGGCTTTATTGAGGTAGCATGGTATAAGATTTAGAGGTGTAGGGTCACACCTCTTCAGATCTATGTTACCACACCAAAAAAGCCCCCCAAATCCTCCACCATCCACTGGGCCCTCTGTCCCCTATGATCTTCACCCCTCCTCTCTGCTTCTATAGCCTCAAATGTGCAGTCAGATTTCTAGGGTTTGTTTTAGTTTGTCTGTTCCTTTGTTTTGTTTCTTAATCTTCTGCACATGAGTGAAATAATCAGATATTTATCTTTTTCTTTCTGACTTGTTTTGCTTAGCATAATCCCCTGTAGTTCCCTCCATTTTGTCACAAATGGAAATATTTCATCCTTTTTTTTTAATAGCTGAATGGTATTCCATGGTGTAAAAATACGTCTTCTTTATCCACCATAGGAGTCAATATAAACTTCTATCCCCTTTACCAGTACTTAGTTTAAGCACAAGTATGTGACCCAGTTGCAACTCTTAAAATAAAAGTTTTTTCTTGACAATAAAACAAGCTCCAGGAAGAGGCATTCCTTCCTATCCTTGGATATTCCTGTGTGAGATGCTACAGATATTTTTGTGAATGAAAGGAGACAAAGATGAGGATACACTAGACCCCCACTTATGGTTGGAAGACTATATGATCAAATCATTATATGCACAAATCAAATGGTGATGAGTTTTTCCTGTTAAAATATAGATAGCTTTATGATTTAATATTGTTTCTTGGATTTTTTTATATTTTTAAAATTTTTTTAATATTTTATTTTATATAATTCTTACATCATTTTTCATCTTTGTACAATGTATGCATTTTCATTTTGGTTATATTCCCCATACAATTGTATCCCCCCCTTTATTTTGACTCCAGTTCTTCCTCTTCCTACCCCTCCCTAATCTCCACCCCCATGCCCGTAGTGTGTCTCTGGTTTATAGTTGCTTGTTGATTTTGATTATTATTTTGCATTGATTAGTCTTTTTCCTGGTCTCTTATTTAGGTTTTCTAAATTCCTGCTATGAGTGAGACCATCTGGTATTTTTCTTTTTCTTTCTGACTTCTTTTGCTGAGCATGATCCCTTCTAGCTCCATCCATGTTGCTGCAAATTGCATGTGTTTATCTTTTTTGAATGCTGAGTAATATTCCATGGTGTGTATGTACCACATCTTCTTGATCCAGTCATCTATTTTTGGGCATTTGGGTTGTTTCCATATCTTAGCTATTGTGAATAGTGCTGCTATAAACACAGGGGTGCAGGTGCCCTGTGGAATTACTGTTTCTGTGTCATTTGGGTAAATACCTAGGAGTGGAATTGCTGGATCATATGGAAGCTCTAAAAATATGGAACGCTTCACGAATTTGCGTGTCATCCTTGCGCAGGGGCCATGCTAATTGTCTCTGTAGCGTTTCAATTTTAGTATACGTGCTGCCGAAGCGAGCACTCTGTTTATTATTTACATTGACTGCAGCCAACTAAACTAGCTGCAGGTCAAGTCCAAAGGCCGTTTGCTGGCAGAATTCCCTTTGCCTTGGGGAGGGAGGTCAATCTTTTTCTATTAAGGCTTTCAACCAATTGAATGAGGCCTACCCACATTATGGAGTACAGCAATCTGCTTTACTCAATTCTACAGATTTAAATGTTAATCTTAACTAAAAAATACCTTCACAGAAGCATGTGATATTTTACCAAGGATCTGGGTACTGTGGCCTAACCAGGTAGACACAAGAAATTAACCACCACATTTTCCTCTCCCTTCATGAATGATCCAGCCTGCACTGAAGTCTGATGACTTTCTCAGTCTCCAGTTGGATCCCACCCCACTGTCGCGCACAGTCTCTTGCACAGCTGATCCTACTTTGGCATCTAATTTTAAAAGACCCAGACTAACAATTACCATGTCTCCAGTGCCTAGAATATAGTACATGCTCAGGTAATTTTTGCTAAGAGAATTAATGAATCCCGTGGATGTGAGAGCAATTTGGCCATGACTCTGACACTTATGATTATTGGGGTGGGTTCATCTGCTACGGGTAGTGGGAGACTATCCCTCTCATTTCCTTGACTTTTTTTAAAGTCTTACAATGAAAGAGAATGACCTACCCAAATAGAAGAGACCACACGTCAATCCAGAGTGATGAATGACTGCCTTTTTGCCTGAGATCTCTAAGCTTTCAAAGAATCTCTTTTTCTTTGAAATCTCAATAGAAGGTTATTGATCAGCTGATCACCTGGACATAATGCTGCCCTGGTAGGGACAGACTGCTGCTAATTAGGTTTTGTTTATTGCTAACTGGATGCTAATTGCATCCCAGACCAGTGGGCTGAGAAGGGGGGATTACAAACAACAATGTCATTTATAGGCAGGGCTGTTCCGGGGATGCAAGCCTCAAGAGAAAAAAATCACATTTCACAACTTCTGGGCACCTTTATCATTTACAGAGAAGAAAAGTGACATTTAAATGTACAGAAAGAAGAGCCCTGGAGGAGAAGTCAGGAGAGAAGCAAAAAGAAGTTTGAGGAGCACGTGGACCCTCAGAGAAAGACTCCTCCTCTGTCTCCATCCAAGGTGAGGTTATAAAGCACTGGTGATGCTGTTGCCTAAGCTCCTGGCTCTTGTAGATTTTAATGTCAGCTGATCAGGCACAGCTCAGGGCCCTCTGGTTCTCAGCCCACCAGCTCCTGGCTTCTGCCTTCCAGGAGGGAGACGGACCGAGCAGGTCGGGGGCAGCCGCTGTGATTTCCTGGTCCACCCTTTTGTCTTCCTCCCCCATCTGACCTTTTCTACCAACCAGATTCTGACCTTGGGTGATTTCTCAGTCTCCGCAGGTGAGATGCCATCTGCCCACTAAGGCAGCCGCTCTCCACCCGAGAGCCCCTCGTCTTTAGAAAACTAACGGGTTCCCCCTCCAGCCCCACGACTCAAATTAATTCTGGGTGACCCCTTTGAAGCCACTGCCACTGGTGGAGACGAAGACAGCATCTTTCCCCACAGGCGTGGCGGGTTGGGTGTGGGGTGCCTCTCGGATCCAGCACTCTAACAGCTCCCGGCAGAGAAACTCCGCAGAGCACAGAGAAGCCGGGAACTGACACTGAAGTTCTGTGGGGCACATGGAGGCACCTGCAGGTTATAGATGAATGCAGGACGCCAGGCACGGGACAGCCCAGCCGGGTGGGTCCATTGAAACCAAGTGCAAGAACAAGCAGCAGTTTCTATGACCTTAGAAGTTGGAACAACTGTTAACGCATCGACTTAAGGTCCGTGCTCTTTACCGATGCATGTCAGATTTCAGGAAAAAGGAAAATATCCTCCCCTGGCCTCTCTGCCCTGCAGCTCTGGAAAGGCTGGTAGGTGGTCCCGGTGCTTCACCGAGCCAGTTTCAGTCTTTTACCTGTCGGGTGTGGACAGTTGACACCTTGTTCTACGATGAGCAGCATGATGAGCACTGTATGTGCCTCAGCCTCGAGGAATGGGCCAGCAGAAGACTGCTTTTGTCCACACATCCCTCTCTGTATAAAGCAAGAGCACAGGACAGGACTCCCCCTTTCTGCCGCAGCACTGGGGGGCCCAGGACCCTGGAGATAAGGAAACCTGGGGCTCCCGCATTTGCACCAGTCCCCAGGAGACAGCTGTAGGGTGAGAGAGAGGGCCTTTAGTGGCCCTCCAGGCAGCAGAGTCCAGAGCCTCCCCTGTTACCCAGTTGGAGCTCAAGTGAAGACAAGGCAGCCTGCACTGGGCACCCAAAGATCTAGCTGAGCATCCAGACTCACTCCCAGAAATGCCCAGAATGCCAGAGTGGGGTCTTTGAGGGGACCTGGAGGTGCTGTGACCTGAGTTTCAGGTGGAAGTTCAAGTGATGGGGTTCCTTTCTACTAATTAGTCCCCATTTTAAAGACCAGGCAGGTGCAGTCTGAGGAGGCATTAGCTAAAAGCAATGGGTCGCTTTTGGGTTCAGCCTGATTCAAGTGTCTGTGTCTGTTTTCCTTCCTTCCTCCCTCGTCCCCCGTTCCTTCCCTCCTGCTCGTGTGCATGCCTCCCTTCTCCTTCCGGCTATGTTCTCTGAACTCGATCCACTCAGCCTGAGTAAGCTAGGATGGGAAAAGGATTCCACAAGTCTAGAATTTTCCGTTTCACTGGAGGCTCATCTCTGAACCATTGAGGGCAAGTTTAGGTCAGATGCTGCACAGCTGCTTAGGGAACCAGGAGATGTGACGCATGCCTCTAGGATGCAGCCTGTCCTTGCTCTTCATTGCCAGACTCCTTGACTGTGCAAACGCCCCTCTGCTCAAGCCTGTGCTGTTAATGGGCAGGGCTGGGCGAGGCAAGGGGTGAGAGCCACATACATGGATACCTCTGAGGACAGCCACCCAACTGCTGCCCCCTCCCCAAAACTGAACTATAGTCATCCCTTAGTATTTGCAAGGAATTGGTTTCAGGAAGCCCCTGGATACAAATATGTGTGGGTGCTCACGTCCCCTACAGTCTGCCCTGCATTCATGGGTTACGAATCTGTGGATTCAACCATGAATGTGCAACTGCAGATAGAGAAAAACCTGCATGTAAGCGGACCTGCTCTGTCCAAACCCATGTTCAAGGGTCACTGTATTCTAGAAAACACTATTAAAATTATTTTAAAGAATGTTTAGCTGTTCCAGTCACCATTCTTATGCTGCAAGAGAAGTGTAGGGAATTTTCTTCCTGATTTTTAACAAAGGGCTTCAGATGACTCACAGCTCCGTGGTTTCATCTCTTCAGGTCTGTTTCCTGAAGAAGATCAAAGCAGTTGGCAGGGTGTTATTTTCAGATCAGTCAGGGGTACATTGTTTAATTGATCACTGTCATTTTACTAGCAATTGCTTATCTAATTTTATCTGGCTTTCTCAGCTCCAGAGCATAACTGGGTGATCCCATGGGGTGACTAGTCACAGAATAATGTCTCCCTCCTCCCACACCCCCCTCACCTCAAGGTGTCCATGCTGGAATTCCCAGAGTCTGTAATCTGTTACAATTCAGCATGAAGGGAATGAAGCCTGTGCACAGGGTAGGTTGCTAACAAGCAGACAGGGAGTCTCCTGGACTATCCAGGAGGATGCAGTGTAATCCCAAGGGTCCTTAAAAGTGGAAGGGGGAAGCAGAAGAGGAGGGTGGGATGATATACATGAAGAGAGCAAGGCCTCCACTGAGGGCCTTGAAGATGAAGGAAGGGGTTATGAACAAAGTAATGTGGGTGGCCTCTGGAAGCTGGAAAAGGCAAGGAAATGGAGATTTCCCTAGAGTCTCGAGAAGGAGTGCAGCCAGGCCTTTGCTTTGATTTTTACGCTCTGAGGTCTGTGTCTCACATATACTCTTGGAGTCAATTGTCTTTTGACTTGGGTCAAATTTGGGGAGGACTTTGGTGTCCCCAGTGGTTGGCATTCTATGCTGGTTCATGTGCTAATGGGGACACATTCTGTTCTCAGAGGCTTGGGGGGGGGATTATGGTCCCCTAATATTCCATGTGTCTTGATGAAATGAGCAACCCTCTACCAAAAAAGAGCCACCATTACTCCCCCTATAATCTGTGTTTATTGAGCACCTACTATATACCAAGATTTGTGCTTTCAAAAATTCAATATAAAACTCACAATAAACTCAAGATGTGTCTTTTATAATACAGGCAAGTCTCAGTGCTTGTATGTGACTTACCCAAAGTCAACCACTTCTTTATTTAGGAGACATCTTCCTGATTTCCCAAGTATTGCTCAGATCTCCCCTCTCCATAAGGCCTTCCCTGACCACCCTGACCATGGTACTGCCAGACACCCTTGCCCTGTCCTACTTATTTCTTTTCTTTCCATAGTATTTGTTGTATCTAAATATGTGTGTGTGTATAATTTATATGCATTTTATTTTTATTGTTGATTTTTCTAATAAGTTTATTGTATGAAAAACTATGTTCTGTTCTTCTTCTTTCTTTTTTGAAACTTCAACTTTATTGAAGGCTAATGAATAAATAAAATTATAAGATTTAAACCATATATTGTAATGATTTGTCACAAGGAGACATTGTGAAATGTTTTCACACACAATTTATATTATTTATCATGTTCTGTCTGACTTAATTCATTTAGAATAATGCCCTCCAGGTACATCCATGTCATTGCAAGTAGCAGGATTTCCTTCTTTTTCATGGTTGAATAGTTCTCCATCATAGACATACCACAACTCCTGTATCTGATGATGAACACTGAGGCTATTTATGTTCTGTTTATATTTATTGTTCACATACTGTATGATTTACATGTATCATGTGTTTTGTTTTAGTGCCTATTTTATTTTTATTATATACTTCTGCCAAAATATAAGCACCTGAGAGGAGGTACTTTCTCTATTTTGTTCACTGATATATCCTCCAAGTGTGAATGGTGCGTAATATAGTGTAGGTATTTGATAAATGTTTATCAAATGAATGACTGAGTATGGTTCCCGTTCCTGAGATTTGGAAAAACTCTCAACATCCTTTGACACACACTTTGTCTTTCTTACTTCTTACGACAACCCTGTAAGGAGGTGTTTATTGTCATACAATGTTTCAGCAGCTTTATGTTAAAGTCACAGAGTTAGACAGGATCAAAGATGAGGTTTAAATTCAGTCCTGTCACTATCTAGTCCACACTTTCTCCTTGGTGCTTAGTTTTTACTAAAGTCAAGTTCTTTGTTCAATTGCCGACCTTGCCAACTTCCTCGTGCTTCTAGCAGATCTGCTGGCCTCATGGCCCCTCTCGTGAGGTGTAGAGGGATGGCCTCTGCTGAGAGGATGCTCCTCAGGATCCCAGGGCTGGATGCCGAGGTTAAATGCCTTTGTTGATGCAGCCATGAAGGAGAACCAGTGTCTCAGAACCTTCCAGCATATCCCTGCTCCCCAGCGCCTGAGGCAGCAAGTCAGCATTGAGATTTTCTCAGACCTGCTGAAAGAGGAAAAGAAGACCCAACCCCTGCCCTCGGCACCTCACATGTAAAAATAGCTAATAGCAAAAGGCAGCTTAAACTGAGCGAGCACTGGAGACCATTTCTTCAATCATTTTGTTGTCAGTCAATGTCAGTCTCTCGAGAGGGCAGCAGAGAGGGTGGCACACTTGTTCTGTGAAGGGCCAGGTCGTAAATATTTTCTGCCTTGTGGAACAGATGGTCTCCATCACAGTGACTCGGCTCTGTCCTTGCAAGCTAAAGAAGCCACCCACAGAAGCTGGGAGCTGGAGGGGATAAGGAGAGGCAGGTGAAAGGGTACAAACTTTCTGCTATAAGATGAATAACATCTGAGGAGCTAACATATGATGTGGTGACTATTGTTGATAAAATACTGTATTGTATGATGAAAATTTGCTAAGCGAATAGGATTTAAATGTTCTCACCAAATGTGTGTGTGTGTGTGTGTGTGTGTGTGTGTTCATTAACCAGATGGGAGGAGTCCTTTATAACATATATCAAATCACCATGATGCACACTTTAAATGTCTTACAATTTTGTTTGTCACTTATACTTAAATAAAGCTGGAGAAAATAAGCTATGGAAGAGATGTAACTGAGTGAGCATTGTGTTCTAATAAATCTTTATTTATGGAACTGAAATTTGAATCATGTCATTTCCCTGTGCCATGAAATATTTTTCCAAATGATTGTCTCCAACTACTAAAAAAAGTACAAAAATTCTTAGCCACAGGCCGTAGGAAAGTAGGCCATGAATGGAACTTGGCCCGTGGACCACAGTCTGCCGGCCAGGCTCTGGGTTGGGCATGGGGTACGCGGGGACTGAGACATGGTCCCTGCTGCCACTGTTCTTGCCTTAGGAGGAGCAGACAAGCCAAAAGACTGTGGCTGGCCTGTGGGACAGAAAAGAGTATGAAGGGGCACAGGAGTTGACCACAGTTTCCTGTGAGGCTGGGGTCAGTTGGCAAGAGCTGCTCAGAAGAGGGAGGTAGAGTCAGAAAAGCCCCAGGACTTGCCTCTCCAAATTGGAGCTTAACGGCAAGCTGCCCCTACAGGGTGAGATGTTTCCACCTGGGTTCTTTGAGCCCCACAAAAGCCCACCTTCCTCAGGTTTCGAGGCCAAGGCCTGCAATGCATGAGAATGGTGGCAGCTTCTGGGCTGCTCTGCTCCCTGCAACATGATGAAGGTGCTGAAGGGACCTTTGTGAATAAAGCCAAGACAAATGACAGGTCCTCAAGACACTTGTTGGGAGTGGCCACACAAGTGCAAAGTCAGTGGGTCCTCATCATGTGTTTGGCAGAGAAGATTCCCTGGCTGTTCTGGGTTGATTTGAGTCCCCCAAAAGTTGATATATTGAGGTTCTAACCTCTAGGATCTTCAAAGGTATCCTTGTTTATGTGACCTAAACTGGATCATTATAGATGTAATTAGTTAAGATGAGTAGGCCCCTAATCCAGTATCACTGATCCCAATAAAAGGGGGAAATTTTGTCTAGAGCAATTAGACAATGAGAAATGAAAGGAATTCAGAAGAAGTGAAGCTTTATCATTACTAGCTGATGAGATAATAATATATTTAGAAAACTCTAAATACTCGACAAAAATTTATTAGAAACAATAAATGAATATAGTAAGGTGGCAGACTAGCACATACAAAAATCTGTTGCATTCCTGTATACAAATATGGGTGAGAAGAGAAGGAAATCAAGAAAACAATCCTATTTGCAATCGTATCAAAAGAATCAAATACCAAGGAATAAATTTAAGAGACTTGTACAGAGAAATTATAAAATACTTTTAAAAATAGAACAGGACAGAAAGACATGGAAGGATATTCCATGCTTATAGATGGGGACAATTAATATAATCAAAATGGTCAAAAACACTGTACAGATTCAATGCAATCCCTATTAAAATTCCAGGGACATTTTTTAAAGAAAATAGTACAGAAAGCACTAAAACTCAGACAGAAAACGTGGGGGGATTTTGGACACAGAGATCAAAAAGTAGGAAGATTGTGAGGATTAGAGTTTTGCTGCCACAAATCAAGGAACAGAAGTAAGATTACCACACAAACAGCTAGACTCTGGGGAGAGCAGATTACCCCTCAGAGCTTCCAGAGGGAACCCACCCTGCCTACAACTGGATCTTGGATGTTGGACATCTTCTCAGCTGCAAAAGTGTGAGGTGATAAATTTCTGTTGTTGAAGCCCCCCAGCATGTGGTACTTTGTTAGGGCAGCCCTAGAGGACTGGTTACCTGACCTTGGGCAGTGCTGTCCAGGACCAAGGTCTGCGAATACCCATTGCAGGCCCACCTCCTCCTGGGTCCTCACCACAAGAGCCACAGCCAGGAGGAGCTCACCTCCCAGTGCCTTATGTAGCAGACAAACATGTCTAATTTAGCAATGGTATGTCTAATTCAGCATCAAAATCATTCTTAGGCTGGACTTCTCTCTCATACCTGATTTGACACTTGTAGACATGTTAGTACTTTGAATGGAACTTATATTTTCGAAGGGGAACAGTATATAGCTCCCCAACAGAAGGAGCCACAGATCGGGGTAATTCAAAGGCAGGGACAGGGTGTTGTCATAAAGAAAAATGAGAAATGAGGCATCTTTTTGGCTCTCACTGTCAACTCAGTGTTCTGTGTTCCTTGTCTGTATGGTTGTCTTACTTCCTTCTGATTATTTCCAGGTTTTCTGATCCTTCTTCGTAAGACTGAGCATCTGGAGGGCGAGGACCATTGCTACCCTCTTGCATATTGTGAGACCCCAGAAAGCCCAGGGCAATATTCACTGGGTGAAGACAGCAGATTCGCTTAGCAATGGTTCAGCACATTTACACTGACCATGAAGCTGGTTTCCTATGGCTGCTGTAATAAATTCTCGAACTTGGTAAAACCTTCAAACATAAAGCATTCCTTTTATGATTTTGGTGGCTAGAATCTCTGCTGAGTCTCTGGTGTGAATCCGGGTGTCTGCGTGCCTCTGGACACTTGAGAGGTGGATCTGCTTTCTTGTCTGTTTTTTCCTCCTGGTGGCAGCTGGGTTCCTTGGCCTGTGACATCTTCCTCCATCTTCCAAGCCAGCTGCGGACATCTATCCTTGATTCTGTTCTACTTGGTTTCTATCACATGGAAGCTGCTCTTCTGTGTCAAATCTCCTTATCAGGTCAAATCTCACACATTAAAGGACCACCTGGATAATCTGGGCTCATCTCCCCACCTCCAGGGCTTTAATTCAATCACAGCTGCAAAGACTCATTTAGCCATGTAAGCTGACATCACAGGTGCCAGGAATTAGGACCTGCCTATTTTGGAGGGTCCTTATGCCACCTGCCACATATACTTTCACATGGCAGGATTTGTTCTGGGCCCTGGAGAATTGGAGGTGAGCAAGGGCGCCTGGATGCCTGCGTCCAAGGAGCTGCGTTCCAGTGCAAGTGGGAGATGACAGATCCAGATTGTTATGAGGGTTTTCAGAGAATTAGAGAGGGTGCTGGGATAGAGAACGGCAGGATGCCTGGGGTGGCACAAAGTTGCTCTTTGAAGAAGAGAAGGCAGCTGTGTGAAGAATTTGGGAGGGTGGACCTGACAGAAGGAACGGGGAGAACAAAGAAAGAGAACAAAGAAAGGAGCTCAGCCAGTTCCAAGGAAGCCACTGTGGGTGGAACCAGGACTGAGGGCAGGGTGGGGAGGTGGGCTGGAGGGGGAGGAGAGCTCTTCGGAAAAGAAAGCAAATTTAATTTATTTGCTGGGTCCTCTTTGCTTTCTGAGACTCGCTTTTGATTAAATTGTATTTTATCTCATCCTCGGTGACTATCTCTCTTTCCCTTCTCTTCTCCTGATTTAGAAGGGTATCAAGACAAATTTCATGAGCGTTTGACCTGTGGGTGGCAAGACTCTCAGGAGGACTGCATTGGTTTAATGCTTTGCTGTTGTCAACTGAAATTCTTCATTGTTTTTGGACACTGGGCGTGCATTTTCATGCCCTACATGGAGGGAGGGAGACACAACCAAAGCCATCCTAGTGCAAAATCCTTATGCTTCCTCCCCTCACTTCTAGAGGGCTCCCCCACATCTTATTCCATAGCAATCACTGAGTAGCTCTGTTTTGGGGGTTCCTTCCTTGGCATTCAAAGAGATTTTTCATAGAAACATCTCTTTCTCTCTGCACCCTATTGCATCAGTTTGCATAATATTTAATTAGTGATGCAGTGAAAATAACAAGTACAACTGCCAAAGCTGCTTTGGGGACAATCCCCATAAGGTCTTTCTAAATACAAGTCTGAGCAGCAGAGAGGGTGGGCACAAGTACTGACCCTGGAGGGTTTTTTGCAGGAAGGGGTGGTCATTTCAGTTCAGGGCTTCTGGCTTTCTGTGATCAAACCAATCTTACGACTCGACAGTTGGGTGGTTTCCTGCTGTGTTTTTCTATTATAAACAATAATGCTCTGAACATTCTTGTTACTCAGTCTTTGATGTAGTGCTTAGCACAAAGTGGATTATTTAAGATCAATTCGTAATGTAGGGTCCAGCAGTCTGCATGCTTTTAAGACTTGTGATAGGATTTGCCAAGTCATTCCACACGTGGTACCCATCAGCTCTAAGAATGATTTCACCACTGTCTTCTCAACTCTGGGTAGTTGAGGGAACTGTGTTTTGCACATATTTAACTTTGGGGAATTCAACTGTGGGTGCTCAGCAAACCCTCTCCAAACAAAGGAACACACATCCACCTATCATACAAACTAAGCCCGCAACTGCTACTCCAGCCTTGTCGGAAAGGTGGTCTGTGGAGATGGATGGAGGCACCCCAGTGGCTAGCATGAGCAGCATGGAGATGCCCATGTCTGCAGGGTCCTTAGGATCTGGGCTCTCACCCCCCATGCAAGGGTGTGTTCAGCTCGCTGTCTAGACTTACCCTTGAGCCATTTCCAGCCAAGGTGGGGTTCTGTTGGCTGAGGCAGGAAGGAGATGCAGGAGCCCCTGTCCAGGCACCTACCGACACCTGTGCTGCCAACATTTTCTCTCCATCTCCCCTTCCCACAGCCCAAGCAACATTTGCTTGGTTTCAGGGAAAGCCCCAACTTCTTCCAAAATAAAACTGAACCCTCGTCTTAATCAGTTGAGTCAGCTGTAACGAAAATACCACAGAGTGGGTGACTTACAAACAACATGAATTTATTTCTGACAGTTCTGGAGTCTAGAATGCTGAGATCAAGGGCTTGGCTGCATGGTTGGGTTTTGGTGAGGATGCTCTTCGGGGAAGCATCGTGTCCTCACGTGGCAGAGAGCAGAGAAGGGAAGCAAGTCTCTCTGGGCCCTTAAAAGGGCACCAATCTCATTCAATGGGGCTCCACCCCATGATCTTCCATAATCCTACTCATCTCCCCTAGTCCCATCTCTGAAAACCACCTTGGGGTATAGAGTTTCAACATATGAATTCTACAGGGACACAGACCTTCAGTTTATAATAGTCTCTCCTCAGCAGCCTCCTAGCTGGGGCTTGAAGTTTTTAGACACCAAAGACAGAAGGAAGCTCCTGGGGTATTGTCAGTCCTCCTGGGATAGACTGGCCACTCAAATGAGGAGAAAAACTGAAAGAAAAAATCAGGATTAAGAAAAGTTATTATTAAAAAATTTTTCTGCCTCACATCTTTCAACTCACAACACATTATAAATGCAGTCCACCCCTTAAGAAAACTCAGCCTTTCATGGGAAGTTGTAGTGTTAACTCTATTATCATCAAGAACCTATTATTTTCAATGACCTAAAATAAATTTGAAATATTAGGGAAAGCAATTTTTCATTCACATAATAATTACTCACCAAATTATAGCCATCTCCAGGCTTTGCAGCTTTGAATTTATGATAAAACTAGTACAACTTTGGGCCTCCCGGTGGCGCAGTGGTTGAGTGCTGGGTTGCAAAGCTGCCCATGGCCTCTGCAGCGCCGGTTCGATCCCCGGCTGCTCCCGGCCACCAGAGGAGGGTCCCACATGGTGCGCAGACCTCTCCTGCCGCCCGCTGCTCCCCTCAGCAGTGTACTTTGGTCCTTCTGCCTGCTCTGCTCCCCGCTCTGGCTCTAGTGAATTCTCTCACCCTCCCGTGCTTCTGACTGTACCCAGTGCTCATATAAATAAATAAATAAATAAATAAATCTTTTAAAAAAAAAAAAAACTAGTACAACTTTAACTCTTATTGGTTTTCAACCTTGCATAGGGACATTTGAAAAGAACTCTATTTTGAATATCTATGCATTTATGATGAAAATTGAAATGTGTACTATAATACAACAGACCCTATAGGAGAAGAAACTTATGTGAATTCTCTACCATTTCCTTCCCCTCTCCCCACATTTTTTTGGGTTGTGTTAAAATATACATTATATAAAATTTATCATCGTAATGATTTTTGGGAATACAGTGGAGTGGTATTTATTGCACTCACTCTGCTGTGCAGAGGTCACCACCGTCCAGCCCCAGAACTCTTCATCATTCCCAATTGAAACTCTATACCCAGGGGCCTCCCTGGTTGTGCAGGGGGTTAAGCACAGCACTGTGAGGCTATCTGCAGCCACTGCAGCACGAGTTTGATCCCCAGTAGGCCAGAGAGCCACCCACATGGTGCAGCAGACCTCTCCTGTCTGGCCCACTGCTTCCCTCAGAAGTGTATTTCAGTCAGTCTGCCTGTTCTGTTTCCCACTCTGTCTCTGGTGAACTGTCTCACCCCCCACACCTCTGGCCTATACCCCAGTTCTTATATGCATGGATAAATAAATCTTTAAAAAAAAGAAACTCTATACCCATTAAACATGGGTGTAGAACCCCCAAATAAGTGGGCTCATACTGTGTTTGTTTTATCATGACTGGCTTATTACACTTAGCACAATGTCATCAGATTCATCCATGTTATGTATCAAGAGCACATTGCAGAATTTCCTTCCTTTTTAAGACTGAATTATATTTTATTTTATGAGTCTATCACATTTTGCTCATCCACTCATCAGTCGATGGACACTTGGGTTGCTTCCATGTTTTAGTTATTGTGAACAATGCTGCTATGAATGCAGCACAACTAGCACAGCATAGTATAAATATCTCTTCGAGACCCTGCTTTCAGTCTTTTGGATGTATACCCCAAATTGGAACTACTGGGTCATACAGTGATTCTATTTTTAATTTTTTGAGGAACCTCCATGCTGTTTTCCAGAGCAGCTGTGCCATTTTTACATTCCTACCACCTGTGCACAGGAGAACTCGATTTGATTGAACAGAATTGTACTGATGTCCTACCATATGCAGGGATCTGGGGTTAAACCCAGTGGGGGTCAAAGAGATGGAGAAGACATTGCCTTTATCCTAAAGACTACACAATTTTATTGTACTAATCAAAGTGAGAGAAGTCAGTTTAAACTGCAATGTTAAAATATTAAGTTTTTAGAGAAAATATGCCATTAAAATATTTTATAAAGGAAATAGAGTCTGACCATCTGGTTGTCTGCTTCCCCAAGCAGAGGGACAGAAAACCAGCACTGTAGGCTGTCTTCTGAAAGAGAATTCTAGAGTATTTTGCTATTTTTCCTTCCATCTTTAGCAGCCTGCTGGGACAGGTGATATTTCAGGCAAGAAGATTCAGACAAATGCTACATTTACCCCCTCAAGGCTTTCGAAGTTCTAATTTGGACCAGGTCAGACCACCTGGGGTGCATACTTCCACCTCATTAATTTTGCCCTTGCACAAATGTCTTCATAGAGTGGAAAGAACATTAGGAATGTTTTTGGAGTCAGACAGATCAGGGCTCCCATTCCAGCTGCTTTGCTTCCTGCTGTACAATCATAAATAAAGGATCCAGTACCTCTTTGGAAATCCCTGAATCTCCCTGTCCTCCATGGTCCTCCAAGATA